ACAGACACATACACTAACAGACATACTGACATAAACATACACTGAACATACACTGACAGACATACTGACACAAACACATACACTGGCAGACATACTGACATAAACATACACTGACAGACATACTGACAAACATACACTGACAGACATACTGACACAGACACTGACAGACATACTGACATAAACATACACTGACAGACATACTGACATACACTGACAGACATACTGACATAAACATACACTGACAGACATACTGACAAACATACACTGACAGACATACTGACACAGACACTGACAGACATACTGACATAAATTTACACTTTTAAACCCACCCACAAGTTTCCTACCTTGGAAGGTGGTTCCCCAGGTGTCCAGACTGAAGGCTGTTGGGATCTGCCTCTCCTGGCAAAGGCTCCCTCCTTCGTCTCCCACGCGGCTCCTCTCCTTAGTGGGAGGAAGTGACTCGCAGCCGTCACTTCCTCCCAGTGCTGCCGAAAAGCAAAGGGCCCAGTCGCGCTGTTAAAGTGCTACAGTGTGTGACCGGGCCCCTGCTTACAATACCCACCCTGTGGCCTGATTAATGTGGGGGCCAGCGGCCCCATGGGAGAAACAATTGTTGAGGGCAGCGGGGCCCACGGGGAAGCTGCCTTGGGCCCCCCAAGAGTAACAGGGCCCGGGGCAGCTGCCCCGTTTGCCCCGCGTTAAAGACGGCCCTGATGTGCACAATGTCTCAAGTCAAGAACAACCCACACAACGCTCACTGACGCAACCAAAACACACACACTATAATCCCAGCTGAGCAATAACCACAAATTGATGAGAAACAACAATAGAGCAACCATAACAGCGCTAAATCAACAAAACCCTGTTCCTTTCTGAACAGAACAACAAAAATTCCCAGCACTTTTCAGGCGGTCGCGGTTCCTTGTCCTCTAGACATTTAAGCTAAACAATAAAATCAAAATTCCCAGCACTTTTCAGGTGGATGCGGTTCCCTGTCCTCTAGACAGTTAAGCTAACAATAAAATCAAAATTCCCAGCACTTTTCAGGCGGATGCAGTTCCCTGTCCTCTAGACAGTTAAGCTAACAATAAAATCTAAATTCCAGCACTTTTCAGGCGGATGCAGTTCCCTGTCCTCTAGACAGTTAAGCTAACAATAATACCAAAACAATGCAATAAATCTTACTGAATACCCGAACAAACTCTTCCACACTCAGGACTCACACTCAGGAGGCAGATAGACAATCAACAGGTTCTTATAAAGAGGCACCGGGCAAGAACTTTTACCTGTCTCTGTTGCCTTCTGGAAGCCGGAATGGACCCTGAGGTAGACCAACACAATACAGGAAAATATAGGTAATTACCGTATAACTTAGGAGGTGATCAATCTCCGGTCCCGTTTTGGGGGGTCCGCTCTGGTCCCGTTTTCTGGCCTTCTGGTCCGGCAAAGCGGCGGCGCCAAATTGTCGTGCATGAAAACAAAGGTTTTATAAATTTGTGTATCTGCCCCTTTTCAAATTAGTTATGTAGTGCATGCACGCTTCCTAAGTAATTCACACCAGACACAGGTTTCTAGGTTAATGAAAAAGTCAGGAATGTTTATTCTGGGGGGCTGGTAGGCCCCTTATAAAGCAGTAATACATCATATGCATAATTATAGATAACAGAAGAAAATACATCAATAATTGGTTAGGGGTTAAGTGGTTCATCAATTGCTCATCCTACCGGGTGACGTCACTGACGTCATGGAGCTCTCCTCCAGATTCCATCGCCATCTTGTTAACTGAAGGTGTTAGTCGATGACAGGGGAAACTCCCCAGCAGCCATCTTAAGTAGCTTACGTTTAATATTGGTTATAGCTATGCAGAGTAAATAGGCATTTTACAAGAATTTAGTAGAGTTAATTTTTTGTCCACAACAACCCATAGGGTAGAAACCCCCCGGCAAGCCCCACTTAGGCAACCTCCCTACCGTATCCCCGAAGCCATCAGAGAGGAGATGAGTGGGGAGATACAAGAGATGTTAAGGCTAGGAGTCATTGAACTCTCCGTTAGTCCTGGTACCAAAGAAAGACGGGTCCACCCGGTTTTGCATGGACTATCAGGGATTAAATGACAAGACAGTGACGGATGCCTACCCGATGCCCAGAGTAGATGAGCTACTAGATCGCATCGCCAGGGGACGGTATCTGACCACCACTGACATCTGCAAGGGATATTAGCAGATCCCCCAGGCTGAGGAAGCTATCCCCAAGTCGGCCTTTGTCACCCCGTTTGGCTTGTACCAATTTAGGGTCATGCCATTCGGGATGAAAAATGCCCCAGCCACTTTCCAATGCTTCGTGGATAGACTCCTTGATGGCTTCCAGGATTTTGCCTGTGCGTACCTGGACGACATTGCGATCTATAGCAAGTCTTAGGAGGAGCATTTAAGGTACGTATGGACAGTCCTGGATCACATTTGGGCCACCGGCCTGACCCTGAAACCAGACAAATGTCATCTAGGCATGGCAGAAGTCCAGTATTTGGGACACCGGGTAGGGTGTGGGAAGCAGTGACCAGAGCCAGCCAAGGCTGAAGCGGTCGCTAACTGGCCCACACCTCGGACCAAGACCCAAGTCCTGACCTTCTTAGGCACAGCTGGGTATTATAGACGGTTTTGTGCCAGACTACAGCGCCCTAGCCAAACGCTTGACTGACCTTACAAAAAAGAACCTACCCCGACAAGTCCTGTGGTCTCCCGCCTGTGAAACTGCCTTTCAAGCTTTAAAAGATGCCCTTGTACATGCCTCTTTCTTGGCTTCCCCCGTCCCTAACAAACGCTTTATTGTCCACACAGACGCTTCCATGTTCGGACTGGGGGCAGTCCTGAGCCAAGGTAGAGAGCACCCTGTGGCCTACATCCGTCAAAAATCGTCCATTGTCTCCTGCGACCCGGTTAAGCCACACCAATGGGTTGTGGTCAGTTACTAACGTGAATTCTCGCCCGTATAAGTATGGGGTGAGCTTTTTCAGGGCCCACACCAAAGCCAAGCACTCTTTTTCCACTGCCGCATAGCTCACTTCCCGAGGTAGTAATTTTCGACTGATGTAGGCCACAGAGTGCTCTCTAACTTGGCTCAGGACTGCCCCCAGTCCGAACATGGAAACGTCTGTGTGGACAATAAAGCGTTTGTTAGGGACAGGGGAAGCCAAGACAGGGGCATGTACAAGGGCATATTTTAAAGCTTAAAAGACAGGCGGGAGGCCACAGGACTTGTCGGGGTAGGTTCTTTTTGAGATTATTGAGATGGAGCTTAGCACTGCAACCCTATAATTTCAACATACAGTACCAGCCCGGTAAGCTAAATGGCAACGCCAATGGGCTAATCCGTCAGACAGAACTCAGTACATCACCAGAAGTCTGGACATCCTCCAGTTGTCTGCCGGAGTGTTCCACAAGGAGGGAGCATTGTGACAGACCCTCTGTCCCTGAATTTTAAAGTTTGAAATTGTCTATTCCTCTAACAGTTTGTATGGAATAATTCCTGTTTTATTTTACCATTGGCCGTTCGAATAACGAAAAATCTACCGAACGACCGACCACCCACATTTGGAGTGTGGCACTTGTTAACCTCACCAACCTTACACCTCTAAAAACCGCGAACTCCCTAACATTCTAATTGATTGTCTGGGTGGTCGGCGTTCGTATGCACGAACACATGGCCGCGGCCATCTTGGGATACAAATGCTGGGTCTTCCACTCCTCATTCTGTTCAACGGTAATTACAAGAATGGAGCGCGTTTCGATAGATATAATCTACCGAACCAACTACACTTAATGCCTCTGGGTACGAACAGCTGCATTCGACTATTTTAATAGACTTTGACTGTGTAAAGGAGACACAGCCTAATCCTCTGGAACTATATTGGGCATGAAAACATGCATGCGGTTGGTCAAAAACAGACATCTAACTAACTCTTGCACCCCTGAACCGATCTGGGTGATTTTTCAATACGTTGTTCCCCCAGATCGGGGCTATCAGGGGATATATGTTTTATGAGGTTCCCATATGTTTTGGGGGTGTTTCCAAAAATAGGTAAAAACTTTATTAAACAATTATCTCCCAAACAGAGGGGAGGGATTGTGTACAGTATCTGCATGTAGGGAGACAACAACCAAAAAAAAACATATAAAAAATACGAACGAAATTACTAATAAAGAGTTCACAATAAGAGACCAATTGACGTGTTTCTCTAAAAATATTATTTATTTATTAATTTGTCCGTGTAAAAAAATGTATATAGGGAGGACTATTAGGTGCCTCCATGTTAGAGTTTCGGAACATGTGAGAAACATCAAAAAAGGAGTTGACACACACAGTGTTTCACAACATTTTAAACAATACCATCATCAAAATCCACAGGGTCTTATGTTTTGTGCACTTAAATTGGTTAAAAAAAATTGGAGGGGTGGAGATTTTATAAAGAAAATCGGAATAGAAGAAATTACTTTTATTTTCAATTTTAATACTATGGTCCCTCATGGATTAAATTTGGACTTTGAACTATGTCACTTCTTATAATAAATATTCCCCTTCTTTTTTACCTTTTTTAGCTCTTTCCCTTTTAATATTGAAGAAAAAATATTTAATGGTTAATTATATATTAGATGATTTTTCCTCTACCCTTCCAGATTTTTATCTATTTTCACTCCAATTATTTTTCACAAGTGTAGAGGCATATTATTACCATTTACATTTAAGAAGTAATACTACATAGTTCACAATGTATTTACTAATGTTGATGCCCATTATGTTATTTTTCTGTGTCATAAACATTTTATTCATTTATTTTCTTCCTTCTATTGGTATATTTGAGAGTCAATGGACAATTTATTTAAAGACTTTCGTAATGGATAACAAATATTCCGGCAGTGGAACGCATGTAGTGCGTTCCACGAAGAATGAGGAAGTAAAACAGCCGGATCCTATGTTTCAAGACGGTGGAACGCATATGTAAGCGTTCCACGAAGAAAAAGGAAGTCGAACAGCCAAACCACGTGATTTCCGTATACACGCACGTACGTGCGTTCCAACTAGCTCTGTGTGCGTTCCACAGAGCGAATTTCCGGTTCGGCAGATGCCGGCAATCATGTCATCAGGTACATATAAAAGAACAAGAGGACGCAATGATTATTATACCAACTGAGGAAGCCAGTTTATTGGCGAAATGCGGTTTGGAATTATTTTATGTACTTTTTACAATATATCTTTTATATTTATTTTATATTGATTACTTTTAATATAATAAATTTTGTTTACATCGTCATTTGGAGTTTGCCATTCCATTCATACCTGAATTTAAGGTGGAGGACATCAGGAGGCAACTAAAAGAGGGTGGTGGATCTCCCTTAGAAGATCCTGAGGCACTTACCACTAGAGCCAAGTGTGTCATTGGCTCTACTTTTGTGAGTTACCCATCTACAACTTATCTCTTATATATTTCAATTTGTAACTACCGTCTGCACTTTACTGCTATTTATTTACAGATTATTGTAATAGCATTTTTGTCCATCTTTACTATACTACTGTTTATACAGGTAAACCAGAGCTCCACTTATACTTTGTTTTATTTGCATGTTTCGTGTTGTGAAGGTTAAGGGATTCCTTCACTTAAGTGTTAGAGCCTGCTTTCACCTTGCTGGTTTTGTGTGCACCGTTTCATTTTATATACATAGTATCTGGGAGTGTCTGAACGTAAAAGACTGTTTTTATTAGTTTGTTGATTTTATGTCCTGTGCCCCACAAGGTCCACCTGGGTGGTAACCTTGTGGAGAAAACTTTATAAAAGACCAGTATGCTCCACACTATCACAGCTAACACACTAGCTATTGTAATAGCTTCTCTTCTTGAATGACTGCTGGGAATGCTGTGTAACGGCACCCCGGGCATAAAAGGGTTAAACCGCCGTTTAGTAGATCTTCCCCTTCCAGAGACACAGGCACAGCTACTGCAGAACACCAATCCGCCTAACAGGAAACCATGTGAATGCCGTAAACAGCCGAATAGGAAAAACCATACGAATAGGTTTATACTCCTAGCAGTCGAACTGGAACAGCATACAATAAATCCCCCCAAGAACGAGACAAGGCTCTGTTTTGAGGGTCAAGCAGTGAACAGTCAGAGCTGTGGGTTTATTGTTCTTATATACACATTAGTACCACCCACAGGGTTTTGGAACACAACCAATAAACACATACAATACACTCAGACACTCCCACACAAAATCCTCCCCTCTGCCTGTGATTCAATTACCTTACACAATGGGGAATGTAATTATAACAAGCAGAGAAATAAAATTTTTCCACATCATTCATAACTTGAAAAGTATGCATCACATTCACATAAAATTTTCAGAATCAGCATACTCCAAATACAAACATATGTCAAAATCATCCAAATTGGTTCAGTGGTTCAAAAGATAGATCGTAGTCCTTTGTGACCAAAGGAAGCATGGCTTTTCTGCCCAAAACCAGTTCCACAGAGTCTTCTATCCTGGAGATAATTGGGAAGTAATCCAATTATCTCCAAGGACAGAGGCAAAACTCCATTGAACACATGGCAGCAAAAGACAATAAAACACATAAAAACATATAACTGTGCAGCCATTGCACAAAACAGGTACATTCATATCCCCAGATAGCTCAGATCTGAGCGCACATTATTACTGAATGGCGTTCAGAGCACACACATACAGTTCAATTGCCATGGAGCCAAAGTCTTTCCCATAGTCTTTCATTATACGAATGGGCTCCATGGCATAGCTATCTGGGGTATCACCGCTCAAACAGGGCAAGCACCAAATGACCCGGCTTTCATGTCTTTGCAGGGGAAAATCAAGCATTTAACATGGGGCCATAATCCAAAGGCAACAGGCGAGCAACCAGGCTTCTCCAATGCAATGTGGCGAGATTGGTCTCGTCACATGCTGTAATACCCCTCACACTCGGGAGAAGGGCACCCTCTGGTGGTGGAAACCCCTCTACTCATTGGGGTAACCGCTACACCCCATCATATTAGGCTTTCTTTGGCTTATTAAGCACAATCCTCATATTGACTGGGAAAAGGGAGAAATATTGAAATGGGGCTGTACTTAGAGATGTATGTTGCACATTACCAAAAGGGTGGGCATCATTACATTACCCACTACTATGCCTCAGACCTCCGAAGTTCCCATACAATACTGGGAGGTTAAGGAGGTATTCAGTAAGAGTCAGACCAATATTCTTCCTCCTCACAGACCATATGACTGCTCCATAAATCTACTACCCAGCGCTATGCCACCCAAGGGAGCAGTTTATGCTTTATCTCCACAGGAGAGTAGAATGATGGAAAAATATATCAAAGACTCCCTAAGTAAGGGCCACATATGTAAATCATCCTCACCTGTGGTGCAAGGTTCTTTTTTGTTTCTAAAAAAGATGGTGAATTACGTCCATGCATTTACAACAGGGCATTAAACAAAATCACCATTAAACATTTCTGAATTGTTTGACAGACTCCAGGGTGCTAAAGTCTTTACCAAACTTGACCTCAGGAGTGCATACAATTTGGTAAGGATCAAGGAAAATCATGAGTGGAAAACGGCATATAACACTAGAAGTGGGCACTATGAGTACAGTAGACAGGCATCGAAGACCTTCATGTACAGGGGTGTTACAAATGTCAATTTGCTGAAATTCTTTTTACTGTTTTATTTATGTGTTTATGTGCATAGTTTATTGTATCTCTGGTTGTGTGCTGCTGCCTGGGGACAAGAAAGGTTTGTAACGTATATCATGTTACATCTACCATGGCTACTATCCGCCTGTTCTCTCTTAATGTCAGAGGCTTAAACTATCCTGAAAAATGTTCCTTAGCCCTTACGGAACTTCATAAACTGGAGGTGGATGTGGCCTTTTTGCAAGAAACCCATTTACGCAAAATTTCAGCTCCTAAACTATCCAATCGTAAATTCCCTATTGCATATTTTAGTAACTTCACAGAGGCCAAGGCACTGGGCATGGCCATTTTAATCGCTGCACATGTCCCGTTCACATATGTTTCGATCATGGTAGAATGGTGATGGGTTAAAAGACTCTTATGTCATAATATGGTGACCTTTATGAATATGTATTTGCCTAACAAACAACAATGCAAATTATTATGACGATACATACATTCAATTGACAATTTTGTGGAAGGCATCTTGATTATGGGGGTGACCTCAACATTTACCTAGATTCTACACTAGACACCACCTCAGATACATGCACTTATCAATCATCAGCACGTCAAAAGATTCATCACATTCTTGATCAATCCCAACTTTTCAGTTGTTGGTGGGTTACTCATCCAAATATAAGTAACCCCTACTCCCACACTAATGGAACATATTCCAGGATAGAATTATTCTTTCTCTTGCATAGTGCTTATACGGTCCTATCACATGGTTGGACCATGCACCCCTGTCTCTTGCCTTATGAATACCATCTATTCCGATCAAATCCTTCCAATGGAAACTAAATGACTTGCTCTTAAATGACCCAGACATCACATCCAAAATAAAACTCACTATTGACCAGTATTTTGCCGAAAATAGCACCCCATCTGTGACTCCTGTCATTACATGAAAAGCCCATAAGTGTGTAATCCAGGGACTTTTTATAGCTTTGTCTTCCAGATAAAAGAAAGTTAGAGAGGCCCAAATTGACACATTAACAAAGGAGATTAGGCATTTAGAGGAGTCGCATAAACAAGATGGCTCTTTACTAACATATACAAATTTAGCGGATAAACGATCCGCCCTAACGCAACTACATAAAAACCAAACGCAAAATACTTCTCTCACGGGGTAAATGTGACCGCATGCTAGCTAATGCACTGAAACGACCCAGACAAGCCACCTTTATTGCCAAGATTAAAAACTCCTCTGGAGAATCCACTCAAATCCTGCCAGAGATCATGGACACATTCCATGAGTATTACTCTACCTTATATAATTTAAGGTACAACCCCCCTCAGATATAGAGCTAGGTACCTTCCTTTCCACAATAATAAACCAAACTCTACCAAGTAATGTCTTAAGAACCTTGGAGGCACCCCTTACTCATGAGGATTTTTGACTGGCAGTAAAATGTACACCGATAGGAATATTATAGAACCTCTCTGCACACACTCTCTACTCCCTTTCTCCAAACTTTCAATTCTCTGACCACGACCAGCACATTACCTGATTCGGCTTTAGAAGCGCATATCACCCTACTACCAAAGCCCAGAAAGGATCCCATTGAGTGTGGCAATTTACACACAATCTCTTTAACCCCTTAAGGACACATGACATGTGTGACATGTCATGATTCCCTTTTATTCCAGAAGTTTGGTCCTTAAGGGGTTAATCAATATTGATCAGAAGATCTTTACAAAAATATTAGCAAACCGCCTATGTCCATTACTGCAACTGCTTATACACACAGACCAGTCAGGATTCGTGCCAAATAGGGAAGCCAAAAATAATACTGTGATGAAGTGCCCTTCGCCACTTGGTCCTGGAGAGGCATACTTGCTAGCCTCCTCCCCTGTGACTATGTCTCTTTCATGTATCTGGCTTTAAAGCCCCTAGTCTACCTTCAGACAGACTATTTATGTAGGCTGCTTTATTTATCTTATGTTTTAGTCACCCTGTACCCATTATAGGTGCAGGGTGTGTAATGTAATTGTTTATAGTGTGTGTGTGTGTGTACTATGTAATGTATTGCCTGCTCTCTTGTACTGCTGAGGTTTGCTACCAACTAGGTGGGTTTGGCTATGGAGCTTGTCTAGTGCCCTCTGTTGGTAGCAACAGCAATATACACTACCTGAATAGCAAGACTGGTTCATTTGCATATTTGGGTAGATTTGCATATTGCTAATTCTGCAGACACGTGAGATATTTTCTGTTAAATATTGTCTCCGCCACCCCTTTAAAAATGTGCCATTGTGTTGTGATAAGTCACTGTGTGTTGCCTGCTATGGTTTGACTGTGATTTTATTGAGTTTTCACAGCAATGTTAATGTTGTGACCCTATGGGCTGCTCCCAAGGGAAATAAAGGTTTAGACAGTTCTTCTTGATCCCTCTAAACGTAGCCTTGTCTCGTTATTGGAGAGAGCTCTTATAATCACACTGGGGATTGCTATGCTCTGCATGATCCCCTGAGTTTGAATCACTTAGCTCTTTTAAGAGCTTGTTCCTGACACGCT